TGTGTGAGTGTGGGCGTGCGTGCGTGGTGTGTGTGTGTGTGTGTATGCTTGCTTGTTCTGCCGGTTGTTTATTGTAAGGGTAGGACACTAATGAAGCATATTTTGAAAAAGACAATATACACAAGCATTATAAAATAACTTGTAGTGATGATAAACAAACAACTAATCTAGACACACAAACAAGTTAAAGCACACAACAAAACAATTGCCAGCAAAATCAGAGAAAAGTAATATTACATATAATGTATGCGTAAGGGGAAACAAAGAGAATCCACATCGTACAACTGTAAGGCCTCCAAACGCTACCTCGGGTGAATGTGACTGTGAATGATATTTATGAATGGACGAGCGGAGACCACGGACTCATTAACTGCCACTGACATGTTTTCAGCTTCAGAAAACTTAGGCGACCATGGAGACCGGTTTTTATTTTCATCTTTTTTCTTTCTTTACTAAGAAAAAGGGTGTGTGGGTGAGTGAAAGGAGATGGGAGATTACGGCCCTCGAGAGACAAACAGATAGAGAGAGAGAGAGAGAGAGAGAGAGAGAGAGCAGGAGAGAAGAGAGGAGAGAGAGAGAGAGAGAGAGAGAGAGAGAGAGAGAGAGAGAGAGAGAGAGAGAGGTGAGATAATCAAATGAATGAGTGAGAGAAAAATGAAGGAAGAGAGAGAAAAGAGATGGTGACAAACATACACACTTGGCATGAACGCGAGGAGGTTGAGAAAAGAGAGGCAAACAAACACACAGAATGGTGAGTGGCGGGGAGGGAGGGGGAGAGCTCTCTCAGGAATCAACGCATACATTAATTTGTTTTTTCCTTGATTTTTTATAGCTATAAACATCTTCTTACTATATACATTCACGATGGACGCTGACTTTGCACTGAAAATGTTCATGATTTTTCTTTTTTGTGCGTTTGCCTACATAAGTATATCATATATATCCCAGATATTTTCATATGATTGCGTTGCTGCGTTTACTTATATGAATATATGTATCCCATATTTTTATATGATTTCTTTGTTGCGTTTACGTATATAAGGATATTACGTTTATCCCAGATTTTTGTACTCAAATGAAGACAAAATCATGCATGCTTGTCCCCGATTTTTTACTTAGATGAAGACAAAATCATGTATGCTTGGCAAAAATGTTCGATACCTACTGTGATAAACTATTTGGCAATAATTAACTGCAAACCTAAAATAATCTGTAAGGAATCTGAATGCTTTGCGTGTGGTTTTCAGCATCAGCTTATTATATGGAATTTTGAAATCAAATGATTGCTTAAAGAGCCGAAAAGAGACAAAATAATTTTTTAAACATTCTCTCAACCATAGAGAAAACAGCGACGCAGCTACAATGGATGGTTTTCATTATTTGATGGATTCAGTATTCTATGGGAATGTAAACTCGGACGTCTGCATATATTTGTTTGTCTCTATTCTGGAGCTAAAAAGATACTGATCTGGTTTATTTCTCTCTCATTACCCACCCGGGGAATGTTCGGCCGCGATATGATTTCAGGAGGCAAAGTCACAAGTGTGGCAACTGTGCTAGAATCCATTCCAATCGATAAATATTAATATTATTTTGAAGGTCATAACTATATATATAAGCTTATTATGTTTGTTTGTTTTTTGGGGGGAGGGCCGGGTTTATTCGCTAGCATCAGGGTAAATCTATGTTGGCACCCTCGTTGGAAGAAGTGAATACCTTTCGTTTTTATCTCAATCAACAGTTATTTTTAAATGTATGGTGAACATTGCAGAATAAAGTCGAAATGGCAGATAAAGACAATCGTGGAATATTCACCTGAAGCTGAATTTGTCGCGTTTAATCAATTATTTTTTTTTTTCTCTCTCTCTCTTTTTCTTTTGGCTTCATTAATTTACTTTAAAGCTGAGTAGGCAAACTAAAATAAAAGCACAATCCAGATCGGCGTGAATTCTTAGACAAAGCTCCACATGGCTAGGATCAGGGTCTAAACAAGTTACTTAGACCTTTGGTATGGCAGCCGACCATGGACTGTTTTTGCCAACAATCACTGACAGTTTCATAGCCAGGCAAATATGAATCGTGACAAAGGATTCGATGAGATTTCAGATCAAAACGGATATAGGAAGAAAAAAAATCGAAATCAAAATAACGTGGCGGACTGAAGGTCAATATTTTTGCCATGCTATGATGTTCTAGGTTCAGGAGGTAAAGGCATGGTCGCACAAAAGTGCACTGCGCCCCTGTCAAGATAACTTTAAAACCATTTTAATATGAGACAAAATTAAACTCATAAGTAGACAAATACAATACTCAAACAGCCTTATAAACTAAAGAAGGATATTCTTATATAAAGCGTTAGAACCCAGGCAGATAAACAGGGACCGCTAAAGGCGCTTTTTTGACAAGAAACGCAAGCAAGCATTGGTTTGGTTTGCTTTATCTTGTCGATTTCGTCAAAGCCCCAACACTTAGCTTCTCTCCATGTAAACAAACTCGTATAAATTTCAGTGAATATCAGGTTTATTTTCTAATCATAATTAATTGCCAATAAAACGATGTTGTTTACAAGAATATTTGACAGGATATTATGAATATTCATCATGCACAAAACACATTCAAAATTCTTTTTTATCCATAACATATACAAAACAAGGGACAATCATAGAAGGTAATGGCAGGACTTGGAATGTAACCCTAAATAGGTTCATCCTGAAACCACTTGCAATGTAGCTATCATCATTTCCGCTACAAGGCGCTAGTACAGTTGCACTACTAGATAAATACTATAGGAAATGAATACGATTAAAAATTATAAAAATCCAAATAACAGTTAATGCAAGGCTTTGTTTTACTACTAGGAGCCGTTTGGATTACGGTGTTACTAGTAATAAAAGCATTACACTAAATTGCGTAACAAATAAAATATTGAAAACTAACCGCAGAGAGGGTGACCATGCGACCGCCTCGTGGCCGATCTCGGTGACACAAAACATCATAACCAGAAATACGGTCTCACTTACTGTATAGTAATTCCTGTGATCAAAATATAAACAACAAAACAGCTGCCACCCAGGGGGCAGTTCTCCTGACACCACACCCCTACAAAACACCGTAAACATATTTCAATAAAGATATGGTGAAACATGTATCATATGCATATATATACTTATTTATCTATTTACACACACACACACACACACACACACACACACACCACACACACACACACACATATTATATATATATATATATATATATTATATATATATATATAATATACATATATATAAATCACATACACATGTATCCATATATATATATATATATATATATATATATATATATATTATTATATATATTACACATATATAAATATTATTATTCCATATATATATTATATATATATATATAATAATATATATATATATATATATATATATATATATATATATATATATATAAAATATATATATATATATTTATATTTATATTTATGTAAAATATTATATATATATACATATTAAATATTATATATATTATATATATATATATATATATATATATATATATATATTATGGCATATATATATACCATATATATATGCTATACACACGATATATATATATATATATATATATATATATATATATATATATATATATATATATAATATATATATATATATTATATATATTATATATATATATAAGAATATAAAAAAATATGTAGATGTGTGCGTATATATGCGTGTACGTTTGTATCGTGCACGTATTGTGGAATATATATATATGTACGTCAGTTATAAAGATTAATTGCATTGCATATGTCTAGATATAAATATGTATATCAGTGCGCGTACACAAGCACACACAAGCGAAAGTCTGCTGATCACGTATGCGCTGTATTTTCAAAACGGTTTAATATACAGTCGGAAACCTGTATTTTGCTACTGCTGTTGAACTGAAAATGGAATATGAATCTATTACCCAGGTAAACTCTTATAGATAACCCAGTTTGAATTCATATTGGTTCATACAATAGAGAGATGAACTGTGAATTGCCAAGAGAAAGTCTGAGTCATGAGGATGATAGTTCGTAGACTCGTATCTGTACTCTGCTCAATGTTGATGCTATTAGCGAATGTTGTTTTACTATGTGCATTTCAGTATAATTTTCTATACTCCAGAAGTTTCAAGCATTTTTTATTTTATGTTTAGAACAGGATATTTTCGCTGTTAAAGGTGTGTGGAGAATAGGAAAACTAGAAAATAAATAAAAATATGACGACTTGGTACCTCAGCTAGTCCGAGAGCCTCACCAGTCAGTGAAGACTCGATTCGGTTTGCGAACGTTATTTGTTGTCCTCTAAAACATCCTAATGTAGCTAACATCATCTTTATATTTGTTACTTTCAGTCAATTGGACGTTTAAGTGTGTGTAAGATGAGTAAGACCCATAAGCATCCCAAAACTGAGTCAGCAGAAGAATTGTGTTGCTAGCCGACGAGCTTTCCCGAGCGCATATCAGACCTGGGCTCACCACTATCGTCATCAGTCTGGCTAGAACCATAGTGAAGTGCGTGCTATACATACGTTGAGGATTTACATGAGTGCTTCAATATGAGATAACTGGATACAATCCCCATGTGCACGTTGGAGCAAGATGGTGAGAGAGACTCGGCATCTCTGGGTAGGAAATTTACCCGAGAACATAAGCGAAGAGCGGATTAAGGAACATTTCAAACGGTACGTGGTGCAAGGCGGAGGAAGGTTTGACGACCGTGCTGTCTCCTGCGGTGCTTTATTATTGTGGTGTAGTGCACTGTTTACGTGTGTTGTTGTAATGGTTTTCTTCACTGCAAAGTTTTAGGCAGTGAGTAGGTAGTTGGATGTGTAGTGAAAGACGGCTGAAGGACAGGGTGTGTGCAGCTGTACGAAATCGCCAGTGTGAAGACCTTCTTGGGGCCTTGTAAGCCTCCTCTCTTGGGATAGTAGATTTGCAGTGTTTTTTCCTATGATTGTAAGACCGCCTATGGGTAAGTATGTAACCCCCAGGTGACCCTCGTGACCTTGCCGGCTTCTGGGAGGTTGTCCTGTCTCCCCAACGCCCCTTCGCCCCCATAGTCTCCCACCTTCACCCAAGCAGTAACGCGACCAGTCCTCGTGATCGATTGTAATTGCGACTTTTTTCTAAGTCTCCTCCTTAGCCTCACGGCTCTGGGATTTCGTCAAGATGTTGTTCTCCGTCGTGTATGCTTTCACAGTGTGCATTCTATTGTCAACCTGTACAACCGTGTGAAAGTGGATGTACAATGGGTTTTTTGTTCGTTGGCAGAATGTTTCAAATTAGAACGATTGAAGCTCTACCTGATGGGGATTCCTTTCAGCTTATTGATAGAGTTCAGATTATTCTTTGCAAAACATTGCATTGTTTGCTTGCCTAAGCCCTTCTCGACAATGCTAGGTATTGCGTTGTGAACCGGAATAACCATTCTACTTTTTAACCATACCATTTGCAAGTAGATCAATTGGTAGAGTTTTTAATGTATAATGTGACTTCATTAGCCCTGGTAATTCATAGAATAAGCAAAACATTCAGTAAGTCGACGTTCGTGTATGTGCGCGCATGCACACACGCACGGACGGATACACTCGCTCACTCACTCACTCACTCACTCTTATTCACTCTTATTCACTCACCCTCATTCACCCTCATTCACATCACCCTCATTCACATACTCACAATCACTCACTCACCCTTATCCACACACTCACCCTCATTCACATCACACACTCACTCACCCTCATTCACACACTCACTCATCCTCATTCACACTCACTCACCCTCATTCACACACTCACTCTCATTCACACACACACCCTCATTCACACATTCACTCACCTTCATTCACATCACCCTAATTCAACACTTAACCTAAGAGACACACTCTCTCACCCAGTCAGTGACACTCACTCACCCTCATTCACGCTCACTCACCCTCATTCACACTCGCTCACACACATTCACACTCTCCCTCTTCCTCATTCACACTCACTCACCCTCATTCAGACTCACTCTCCCTCATTCACACTCACACTCTCTCATTCACACACTCACTCTCCTTCATTCACACACTCACTCTCCTTCATTCACACACTCACTCTCCTTCATTCACACACTCATTCATTTCACACTCACATTTTCACACACTCACTCTCCTTCATTCACACACTCACTCTCCTTCATTCACACACTCACTCTCCTTCATTCACACACTCACTCTCCTTCATTCACACACCACCACTCCCTTCATTCACACACACCACCACACACTCCCTCATTCGCACTCATTCCCTCATTCACACATTCACTCTCCCTCATTCATACACTCACTGTCCCTCATTCACACACTCACTCACCCGCATTCACACACGCACTCACCCGCATCACAACCACACAACCCTCATTCATGCACGCACTCACCCTCATTCACACACACACCCTCACTCACCCTCATTCGCCATCACTCACATATTCACTCATTTACAGACACACACACACACATTCTCCTCTCCCTCCCCCCTCTCCTCTCTCCCCTCTCTCCCATCTCCCCCTCTCCCTGTATCTCTCCCCCTCTCTCCTGCACTCTCTCCTCTCTCTCTCTCTCTCTCTCTCTCTCTCTCCTTCTCTCTCTCTCTCTCTCCTCTCTCTTCCTCTCTCCTCTCTTCTTTCTTTCTTCTCTTTCTTCTCTTTCCCCTTTTTTCTCTCTCTCCTCTCTCCCCCCCCCCCTTCTCTTTCTCTTCTTTCCTTTCCTTTCCCTCCCTTTCTTCCTCCTCTTCCTCCCCTCTCTTCTTCTCTCCTCTTCTCCCTCCTTTTTTCTTCTTAACCCCTTCCTCCTTTCCTTCTTCCCCTTTTTTCTCTTCTTCCCTTCCTTTTTTCTCCTCTCCCCTCCTCCCCTTTTTTTCTCCTCCCCCTCTTTTGGCTTTTCTTTCTTCCCCC